TAGAACTTTTCCAGTCCACAAAAGGTTATTTATATTATGAGAAAATGGCTATTTGAAGTACTGTTCACTGAAAGGTTCTTTGGTGAACCAAAAACAAAAAAAAGATTCTTCTATCATGGCATTGCAGCAAAAAATAAAATAAAAAAAATAATAATACTAAATAAATATATATATATGTGTGTGTGTGTGTGTGTGACCCTGGACCACAAAAAGTCAATCAATCAATCAATCAATCAATCAATCAATCAATCAATCAATCAATCAATCCTGTGTTCAAAACTGCCTCTGTCTTCTCCAGAGTGAATCAATCATCGGTTGGCGATCAGTCATGGCAAACACGGGTCTTCAGGTGATGGGTCTGGTCCTGGGCGTCGCAGGCTGGGTGTTCGGGATCCTGGTCTGTGCCGCCCCCGGGTGGCGTGTGTCGGCGTTCGTAGGGGACGAGCTGGTGGTGTCTCAGGTGCTGTGGGAGGGGCTGTGGATGACGTGTCTGTCACAGTGGGGCCGCCTGCAGTGTAAAGTCTACGACTCCGGCCTCGCCCTCTCAGGTTCCGCCCAGATGTGCCGTGGCCTGAGCGTGCTGTCACTGCTCCTGTGTCTGCTGGCGCTCCCGCTCAGCGTGACCGGGCTCAAGTGCACACGCTGCCTGGGTGACGCGCACGAGACCAAAGCTCGGCTGGGGCGGGTCGGCGCAGCGCTCTTCCTCGCGGCTGCGATTTTCTTCCTTTTGCCGGTGTGTTGGACCGCGTATGTCGTGATACGCGATTTCTACGACCCGAACGTCGCCGCGCCACTTAAACGCGAACTCGGACCGGCACTTTATCTGGGATGGGGCGTGACCGTGCTGATGCTGGTGGGCGGGGCTTTGATGTATTTAGGCTCCGCCTCCCCTGGAGTTCCAGCCTTGCCTGTTTTCGGAAAAGGCGCTAAAGGAAACCCTCCGTCCACAGCAGAGAGCAAACCTGAGAAGGTCTTTGTGTAAGAGAGCGTAAAAGACATCAACCTGGATAAACTGTGTCCGAGTGCTCACCTTTAATTTGCAGAAGTGCAGGAATATTATCATTTACTCACTGTCATGTGCAAAAACTGTATGTGGTTATTTTTTCTGTGGAACGCAAAAGGAGAATTGTGCATTATTATAGCTTTTTTATTTGATTTTATTTTAATTGGCTCTTTATTATCCATTCTCATGGACATTTGTATTTGGTCTCCCATTGGTGCTGCATCATAAACATACAGTACAGTTTATTCACAACACACAGAAAGAGTTATAGCTGATGTTATGATACTATGACACTTTTAAAATTGAAACTTGACAGCTTGTCTTCATGTGGAAAAGAGCTGTCTGATGCTTTTTCGTCATTTCTACTTTTGAGTGCTAGAATGAAATAACATTGGTTTAGAACACCGTGAAGGTGAATTACATCGTTTTTATTTTTAGAAAGTCCAGTTGCATTAAGAAATCTGAATCTATCATAAACTGAATCTGAATACATTTCCAAGCCTTTCGCAGCTTATTTTGATTTCTGAAGGATCTTTTATGTGCTATATGAAGGTCAGTAATTAGGTTACTCGGATTTTGTTGTCGTATCACAGCCTCACATGTTGTTTTCATATTTTTCAATTCTCAGTATAATTAATGACTGTATCTCATATGATTTATTTATTGATGTGTTATTGTGCATATGTCTAATAAACATAATAGAATGATGTGTGTTGACTGGACATGCATTGCATGCGTGCATTAAGACGTTGGCAGGAGTCACACGACACAATAGCAGAACACAGCACAGGGACAGTAAACAGAGTGACCACTGTTGCTCTGATGAAGTCATCATGCTGGAGGACGTGTGGAGTATGAGCTGGTGTCCCACAGAACTCCTTCAGAAGCCCTGCATGCAAACAGACCATCAGAGGAGGAGGGATTCATCAACATCAGTACTTCAGAGACATTACTGACCCCTGCAGGTATGTCTGTTGGCTCTAAATCAGGTTCATTTGTTACCCCTGGTGGTTTAAGGGGAAAAATTACTAAGAAATGACTTTATAGATGATTCAGTCACAGCAGCTGTATTACTGCAAACCCAAGCCTCCAAGATCCCACACTCTCAAAAATAAAGGTACTTTACTGATGTTGAATATAATAACTATAGAACTTATCAATATAGAACTTTTCCAGTCCACAAAAGGTTATTTATATTATGAGAAAATGGCTATTTGAAGTACTGTTCACTGAAAGGTTCTTTGGTGAACCAAAAACAAAAAAAAGATTCTTCTATCATGGCATTGCAGCAAAAAAAAAAATATAATAATAATACTAAATAAATATATATATATGTGTGTGTGTGTGTGTGTGATCCTGGACCCCAAAACCAGTCGTAAGTGTCAACTTTTCGAAATTGAGATTTATACTTCACCTGAAAGCTGAAATACGCTCTCCATTGATGTATGGTTTGTTAGGATCGGACAATATTTGGCCGAGATACAACTATTTGAAAATCTGGAATCTGAGGGTGCAAAAAAATCTAAATATTGAGAAAATCATCTTTAAAGTTGTTCAAATGAAGTTCTTAGCAATGCATATTAACGACACAATAGCAGAACACAGCACAGGGACAGTAAACAGAGTGACCACTGTTGCTCTGATGAAGTCATCATGCTGGAGGACGTGTGGAGTATGAGCTGGTGTCCCACAGAACTCCTTCAGAAGCCCTGCATGCAAACAGACCATCAGAGGAGGAGGGATTCATCAACATCAGTACTTCAGAGACATTACTGACCCCTGCAGGTATGTCTGTTGGCTCTAAATCAGGTTCATTTGTTACCCCTGGTGGTTTAAGGGGAAAAATTACTAAGAAATGACTTTATAGATGATTCAGTCACAGCAGCTGTATTACTGCAAACCCAAGCCTCCAAGATCCCACACTCTCAAAAATAAAGGTACTTTACTGATGTTGAATATAATAACTATAGAACTTATCAATATAGAACTTTTCCAGTCCACAAAAGGTTATTTATATTATGAGAAAATGGCTATTTGAAGTACTGTTCACTGAAAGGTTCTTTGGTGAACCAAAAACAAAAAAAAGATTCTTCTATCATGGCATTGCAGCAAAAAATAAAATAAAAAAAATAATAATACTAAATAAATATATATATATGTGTGTGTGTGTGTGTGTGACCCTGGACCACAAAACCAGTCGTAAGTGTCAACTTTTCGAAATTGAGATTTATACTTCACCTGAAAGCTGAAATACGCTCTCCATTGATGTATGGTTTGTTAGGATAGGACAATATTTGGCCGAGATACAACTATTTGAAAATCTGGAATCTGAGGGTGCAAAAAAATCTAAATATTGAGAAAATCATCTTTAAAGTTG